ATCACCATGGCAGACGTGGTCCCGCTTAACAGGCGGGTGGACATCCGGCAGGAGATCCTGTCCATGGAGGCGGACGACGAGGCGTTGAAGGTCCGGGAGCGCCAGGAGGTCAAGGTCAAAGTGCAGCGGTCCCTGCAGGAGGCAGAGGCTCAGAGCTTCCAGCTCTACCACCCCCAGGTGGACCAGGCGATCCGGAAGAAGGAAGAGCTGCATAAGGCCTTGGGAGCACCGGGAACCGACCCCGGAGGAGTCCTCGGCCAGGCGGCGGCAATGCTGGACAATGAGATGGCAATCCTGGCGCCTCTCCAGGAGGGCATGCAGGCCCTGCCGTCAGAGGAGGTGGCCAATGAGGGAGCCCGGGCCCTCAGGAAGGTCAACCTGGAGCGATTCAAGGCCAAGCTGCGAGACCAGTACCTGGAGGGGAAGGGTGTCGACGCCAGCCAGGCACTGGCTGATGCAATGGGCTCCATCCAGGAGGCGCAGGAGGCGAACAAGCGCACCCAGGACACCAACCAGGCATGGTTCTATGGGGAGGACATCGCCGGCAGGAGGCCTCCCCCGAGCGACACCACCTTGCTGTTTGCAGAGCGCAATGCATGGCGCAAAATCCACGAGATGGTGCACCAGGGCACCACTCTCTCCGATGCCCTCAAGAATATCAGGGGCGACTTCCTCTTCTGGCAACGGGAGGTCTATGAGCACCTCAACAGAGCGCCGGAGAAGGGGAAGAACAAGGGCAAGGCACCCAAGGTGTGGCAGACTCAGTGGGAGAAGCCTAAGAAGGGGGGGAAAGGCACCTGGCCCTCGGGGCCGACCCGGTCCAAGCCGAAGGGCAAGGGCGGCAAGGGGAAGTCCCCCAACTCCCGCTCGGTTCCATGGCCGGACCACTGGGCTTTCAAGAATCCCAAAGGGGTGGCGTACTGCAGAGATCATCACCTCCACAACAAGTGTTCGGGATCGTGCGGCCCCACAACTGCCCGAAGGATGGGTGGGTGTGTGATGCCCCCCCATCGAAGCATGCGCCCTCACCTTCCCAAGTGACAGGAGGCCACTCAGGGTGCCATAGGCCCCGTGGCTTCCTGGTCTCAGTTGGGACCACAGGCCCAGTGCGAGAGTGCACACAGAGGGGGAGAGCCACCCCACCAGAGCCACAGCGGAAGGCAGACAGAGCGGGGGGGCCTCAGATGGGAGGGGACTTCTCCAGGGTGCCACCGGCCCCGGAAGCCCGTCCACCGAGGAAGAGGAGCGGTCCCAGCCAGGGCACTCCAGAAGGGCGGAAGCATCCCTTTCCCCCACACCCACCGAGGCAGTGGGTAGACCCCAGAGAGACCCAGAGGTGAGGATCCGCCCAGCAAGGGGTTCCAAGGGCGGGAAGAACCGCCAGGGCAAGCATCAAGCCCAGGGACAGATGATGGGAGGGTCAGACAAAGGACACACGGAATCTTTAGGGGGGGGCAAGCCCCACCTTCCCATAGATGCAGGACATCCCGGAAAGACTGAGGCTCAGACTGAGGTGGACGCCACGGCCAGTGCCGGGGTCTTCAAAGCCGTCCCTCATCCTGCTGTACGCTGGGAAGGATGATGCGGCCCTGGATGCCTACCTCCATGCCTACAACCCGGCCTTCTCGGAGTACATTTGGGCGGTGGATATCAGGCGAAAGGGTGGAGACCTGGGCCAGGACATGCTGGGCGAGGAACCTTACTCCACGATGTGCTCCATGGCCATGGCGGGCAAGGTCGCCTTGGTGGGGGGAGGCCCCAACTGCAGGACGTGGAGCATCCTCAGGTGGTTCCCCAAACCGGGTGGGCCACCGCCGGTGAGGGGCAGGGCAGAGCAGACCTTGTGGGGCTTAGAGGACTTGGAGCCCCGGGCGTGCTCATGCTCCGACAGATGTACCTGACCTCGCTGGCCTACAAGGGGCGAGGTCAGCTAACGGTCCCGCAGGTGGGCTCCTCCTTCTTGGAGCACCCGATGGACCCGATGGAGTGCAGCAAGAGCCCGAGCGCAGCGAGGTGTTCATCGATCTGGGTCACGCGGGCCTACGTTCAATGGGCGAGTGCACTCCACCACTCCCTCATCAAGTTTGACGAGTGCCGCCTGGGCCAGGTGGTGGTGAAGTCCACGGCATTGTCAACGGACCTTCCCCTTCACCATTGGCATGATCTGCGTTGCAACCACGGGTCTCACCCCAGGGGAGAAAAGCTCAACTCCAGTGACCTCAGCCGGTACCCGGAGCAGATGATGCAGGGTCTCGCAGCGGCCATCCTTTGCCGAGCGGGACCCGCGCCCCAGACGAACCCAACAACCCCCCCGAGGCGGCCGAGGGAACCTTCTCCCAGCACGCCGGGGACAACAAGCGCCAGTCCCGGAGGCTGAAGGCGGGCCAACAAGCGTTGGCAGGCCTGACCTTGGGCTCACTTCCGGCCTCGGACAACCCGGAGAGGACTGGCGAGGCGGATGAACTTGGGGGGGGAACTCTTTCCCCGGATCCATGGGCACACCATGGCATGGAGATCTCGGATCGGCCCACCATCCTGCCGATCACGCACGACCCCAATCTCTCCGACAAGGTCATGTACCTCCAGATGGCCTTCAAGCAGCGTCCCTTGAGGGACGGAGGAGGAAAGCCCTCATTGGGACGGTTGGCCCCATGGACCCGGCCGCTGTCCAAAGCAGCAGCGCTGGGGGCCAAGATCTGTGTCCTCACTTCGCCGTGGGGGGACAAGCTCCAGGAGTCGCTCTCGTTGGGGGATGGGTCACATCCCTTCCCGGAGGACCTGCTGACATCAGGCGCCGGGGGCAGGCCGACCAGCTGACGGCCAACCCTTCTTCCTGGACATCTTGCAGAACATTCAGGACCCCGACCACCAGTTTCCCCGAAATCTGGAGCAAGGGGTCGCACTGGGGGTCACGGACCCACCCCTGACCTCGCCGGGCAAGGAACTCCCTTCAGCGAGCTCATCAGGGGCACATTTCTGGAGGAGGTCCCCATGGGCATGGTGGAGGGCCCCTTCAGTAAGGTGGAGGCAGCATCGCGCTGTGGCTGCGAAAGCGAGGACCTTTGTCCCGGCCCCTTAGCGGGCATCGACGAGGGGGACAAGATCCGCACGATCTATGATGGCTCAGTGGGAGGGGCCAATGACACCATCAGGAACCAGACGGTGGAAAGGACGACAGCTCCGACGGTGCTGGATGGGGTCCAAGCTCTCCATTGGCTACATGCGGCAGCTGCGGAGGGACCCCCCTCTCAGGGTGCCCCTGGCCCCGAGAGGGGGGTCGTCAAACCTTTTATTTGGGGGCTGGCTATGGCCGGAGCCAGGCACCAGGTGGGTGCTGCTCAAGGCCCTCAGGAAGGACTGGCGGTTCCAAGTGGCCTCACTGGGGGAAGAATGGTGGGTGAACAAGGTAGGCACATATGGCATGGCCAGTGCCCAATCCTACTAGGGACGCCTGGCAGCCCTTCTGCTCAGGGTCCTCTACGCCCTTTTCCCTCAAGTGGATTGGAACTTCGTCTTCGTCGATGACTTCCTGTGGCTGCTTCGAAGCGAGGGGGCAGTAAACTTGGCGGTGGCGCTGCTGGCCACACTCCTGGCCTTGGGCACCCCGCTTAGCTGGAAGAAGACGCATTTGGCGGAGGTTAACACGTGGCTGGGCTTCGTGGTCCACCCGAACATCCCGCAGGTTCTCATGGCAGCCAACAAACACATCCTGGTTATGGAGGTTTTGCAGACCATGGTGGAAGGGCAGGCGATGCACTCAAAGGACATCGAGAAGGCCCTGGGTCGCATCCAATGGGCAACGGCTGCATGTCCGCTGGCGAAGTCGATGCTCCAGCCACTTTGGGCCTGGAAGATGGCCACCACCACGGTGGGGAAACCCCCCAAGGTGGTCAGGATGCTGGCGTTCATGCTGCGGTTCCTCTTCAACACGCCTTCGTCCAGTACTCCCCTTACTTGCCGAAGTCCTCTTGGTGGGGTTGCAGCGATGCTAGCGCCTCGGACGACGGACTGGCATTTGTGGGAGGTTGGTGCTCCAACAAAGTGGAACCGGACAAGAAGGAGGTGTACTGGTTCCATGAGCAGATCCACGTGGAGGAGTACCCTTGGGCTTTCAAGAATGGGGATCCCAAGCGGAGGATTGCGGCTCTGGAGATGCTGGGCACGCTCTTCCTCTGTAACATGATCCTCACGCACCAAGGCCCTCTGTCCTCCCGGGTCCGACTCCCGGTGGGCAGTGACAATCAGGGCAACGTCATGGCGATGCTCAACCTTGGATCCAAGAAGCCCTACACGGCGGCGATCCTGATGGAGCTGGTCTTCCTGCTCCACACCCATGGCTGCTCGCTGGCGGCCAACCACGTGCCCCGTGAATTCAATCAATGGGCTGATGAGCTGACGCACCCAGATTTCTCTGGGTTCGACCCTTTGCAAAGGGTCCCCAAGCAGGAACTCTGTGAGGAGTTCGTTTTTCTCCCGCGTCTCCTGAATGGAGATGCATTTGATCTCAGCGTGGGCCCACCCTGCTCCCGTGACCGGAGCCGGTGGGTGACTCACTTCCCCTGGTGGCAGACCCCCCTGTGGCCTGGGTGCCACGGGCCCCGGCTCAGGGGCGGGCGCTATCAGTCTGCACACACACTTGGGTGGCCCATGGGGCCCACCCAGCCTTTGTCATCTGACAGGGGAAGATGAGTCCCTGGCACCAACACACTGCTCGGATAAAAGAGTTATCGCGTGCTTGTGTGTGGTGCCGTTTGGTTAGCTTGCATACACAGTTGGATGTTTGCCAAAAGGTCATCGAAGTACCTTAAACTCTTGGAGGTTCTTGTTCCTTTTCGAAAAAGAAAAAGCTCTGGGTTTTTCTACCCCTTAGGGGGTACTTCAGCACCTTGCGGAAGTCCCACCAATCGCCACCGCCGCTCTTTTTTTGTTTTCCGCGGCGCTCGGAGCGCCTTGCACCTTGCGCCGGCCGCAGCCTCGCTCGAGCCCTCCGGCTCGCGAAGGTTGGCACCAGCTGCTGGCGCCGCCGGCGCAGAGCTGGGCGGGCTTCGAGATGCAGCTGGCGCAGCTGGTGGAGCAGCTGGTGCTTCGGGCCGAGGCGCGCGCTCGCGCTCGGAACGAGCGCGAGCGACCGCGAAACAAGTCGTTGGCGCTCGGTGGGGCGAGCGGTTTTTTTTGTTCCTGTCACGGAGAGAATGGGCTTGACGGAAAGGTGGGGGCAGTTTGCCGGTTGGTCTTTTTGAGGTTGTTTAAGGTTGGTGTGAAAGGGACGCCAAAGGAGTGCAATTACAAATTTGATGGGAGGTGCCCCTATTTTCAGAAACACCCATATCATGGCCGGTGAATGGGTCTGGTTCTCCTCAATGAGTTGGAAGGAGCCATGTAAACCAGCGCAAGTGCTGGGGGTTTAGGCATGGCGGCATTACCCTATGAACCTTGCAAGGCAGAGGAAGCCGCGCTCGGCTTCCCACTTCGGGTTGGGGTAACAGGTGACCCAACTATTCAAACGGCAGCAAACCCCCATGTTCGAGCCCAACTTAGTGTCAAGTTGTGCCAATGGCAGGGTGGATGTGCCAATGGTTCTCCAAAGTTTCCTTGTGGATTGATCATCTTAAGGCTCTCAAGCCTGGAAAGCAGGTGCCCTTCTTTGGGGTTCGTGGGAAGCCAAGTTGAAACCTAAAAGTCGTGCGGATTCCCCCCAAAAGGACCCCACAGAAGGATGGGGCCTGTCAAATGACAGGACTGGCCCAGCCTTGAAGCCTCAAGACGTTCTGCTGTCATGTCGCATGATGTCACGTGTGTGTTTCACCGCCAGCATGGCTAGGGAAATTCAAAGGAAAACCGTGAGTTTTGTGGGCTTCACTATGTTGACACATACACGTGACTGAGATTGCAGTACATTCCGAGTCGAAATTCCAGGGGTTCTCTCATGCTTTGATAGGGCGAAGCCTCTTTGACTTCGTTTGGGTGAAGATGCACAACTCCCTTAATGGTAAGTAAAGGGGATGATGAAACGAGCATGGGTGAATCGGGCCATGTGTCAGGAAACCGCAAGTTCCTGCTCGGGGCAGCCAATCTTTCAATTCTCATAGACAGGTTGCTGCCGCCTCTAAACACGATCAAACCAAGGGCCCAAGCTGGTTTCCACTACCCCCGAACCACAACCCCTTCTTCTTTCTTGGATATACTGCCACAAAAGAAGCCGCTCAACTTTTTTGGTACCATCTTAGAACGGTAGAACATTGGTAATCATTGGGTCAGTAGGTGTCCTTGTTGTTTTGGTGCAAAAGCGGATGGCCCTGGTCGACTTGTTGGTTTCACAATCTACCAGGGCTGTCTAGCTTCCCAATAGGACCCCATGATTGGGCCCGTGTGCTGTTATTTCTAGGGGCCAAATTTGGATCGCTGATCGGGTCGAATGGTAGCACTAGAGGTTGGCTCCGAGACAGCAGATCGCCCAGTTCAGGAGGAGACGTGCGCTGCTTGGCAAGTGTTCAGGTTGGTTTCAACCATCACCTTGTTGGTCCATTTATGGTGAGTTTCCCTTTGCAAGGGTGATGATTTCAGGAGAACTATAGGAGACCCCTGTTGGGCCGGGCTGGTTTGAGTTGGTGAAGTCGCCCCTGCACCCCCGCCCCCCAAAAAAAAACGGACCTGCTGCTTATGTAAGGGAAGTCAGGTCAGTTTAGATGGACGTTACACAAAAGTGGCCTCATTGTACAATGTTGGCAGATGGCAGACTTGCGCAAATGATTCATTAAGCCTTTGCCACCCATTTGAATAGTATTTGCTTCTATTTTCTCAAACATGTTGGGTTTTTTTGTCCCTTAGATTCTTGTTCAAACATTTTAGGTACAGTGTAAAACCGAAGTTAGGTAAAGCGTCATAATACACAGGGTCATAATATGTCATATATGCATCTCTGAAGTTGTTGAAAGTGTCAGTCAACAATAACTCATCTGCTTTCACAGAAATCGTGATGTTCTCTCATGATGTACTGTTAAAATGTGTCCATATCATTTTTGTGTTTTCTTAGTCTTCATCACTATTTATTGCTATCCTCGTTCAATTGACTGTAAAACATCTCCGTAAGAGTACCGGCGCAAGGGTATCAACAATAAAGCAAACAATGCCTTCATATTTGATTTCTCATTTCAATTGATGCGCAATCCTCTTCGTCTGGCAACTTTCAAACCTGTGCCAATACCTGCTACGCATCTTCCATCTCTCATTTCAACTCATCTGGAACTCCCCTTCGTCTGTCAGCTCAGAAATCTTGGCCAATTCAAAAAAACATATCAGCTCACATCTTATATGCCTTGACCAATGCCACGCTGTGTGCTAAAGCAACTAATCTCCCTGAACGAAATTTGTGCTGCACAAAACCTACTAAGACGCATGCAACACACTGGTATTTACTGTGTTTTTTCAATATCCAAGCGTTGCGTGGATTTCATTAAACCATTTTCTGAGAATGCAATTATCCAATGCCCATGTGCTGAACTATCAACTGCATTAACCGCACACGATTCCAAAATACTCATGAGGTGACAACCAAACAGGAATCACTGAAAGCAGACGCTTTTCGGCGCTTTGAAGCGGACTATGGTTCTTGCATCTTGAGCCCAGTATGGGGCCCCAAAACGCTTTGAAGCGCTTTAAGACTCTAGATCTTGAATCTTGAATCCAGTATGGGGCCCCAAAACGCTCAAAGCAAAAGGGGAATGACTCGCCGGGCACATGTTGGACTCAGTCAAACGAGGCTTACTTGGGGCCTGTCGGGAGGGTCATGAGCCTTTTGGTCTTGAGCTTAGACAACCATCATACGAGCTTTATGAAGGCCAAAGTCCAAATCGTTTTTGCCCGGTAAAGTGCGACCAGAGCTCTTGAAGGTTCGCATGCTAATGACAAGAAGCAACAAGATGAGCAGTAAGTCGGGAGCAGGTGACACCGATGCACAAATTGAAAGTGAACACAAGTCCAACCGCCAAGCCGCGTCAAATCACGGGAAATACGGAAAACGCCTTGTTTGTTGCCCTTGCAATATCTGGGGCGTCCAATGTATCAGGGTCAGAACATGGAGTATCGACCATCGATGTGTGCCACTCAAAGACATGTGTGTGATGTTTTGTTCTCGCTTGCACTCATTGGCGAGAGGAAGGGCCAAGAGCAGAGCAAGTGAGGCAGGTATGGGCTGAGGCCGAAACTCCAACACAGCGGGTGTTTTGGGAGGAGCTTTGCCCATGTGAAAGGGGAAGCGTTTAACGACCTTTCAGTGGTACCCCTAAGAAAGCAGTGTAATTCTCAGAAAAAGACGCGATAGCCCAGTAGACGTGCTATACTTGTCAAACAAGGCTGAGGAGCCGATCGATGAAACGATGACGTGCTGACTGGCTCAAGAGGGAGCTTGTGACAGGGACTGAGTGAATGGGACTTGGGAGCATTGATAGTCTCGAAGTGCAGTACTCTAACAAGGAGTTCCTGCACATCATAGGCGACATAACGTGGCAACAATCAAGGCAAACTGGTCAAGAGCAACAAAGACAGGGCTTTGCAATGCGCCATAGCTTGGCATGATTCCGCTGAGCCAGTTGGACGAACCTGTCTGGGAGGAAGACATTGATGATACAGATGATGTGTTGCCTGTACTTCATGCTTGCAATGCAGAGCTACCAGTTGCGCAAAGGCTTTTAGCCACCCATCGGCTCCTCGAGCGCTTCCTTCGCTCAGAGGCCAACCTCGGCGGTGCGCAACTGCAAAGCTTGGTTCCAGCTCTGTTGGACATGGCCATCGAAGCAGATCGACTACCTCAGATCGCCGTAAAAGTCTTGTGGTGCATCGCTGGCACACCACAGGGTGTAGCTGCTTTGGAGAAACATGATGCGATACCCACGATGTTTGGCATTTTGCGGGGGAACTCAGATGTCCTGCTGGCAGCCGCTGTAGCGCAGTTCCTGGAGCGGATGTGCCGCTCGGGCGATGCCCTGGCAGCGCATCTCCGCAAGGCAAGCTCTGCTCAGCTCCTGCTGCGCAGTTTATGGCGCTGGCGGCATTGCTTGGAGATCGTGACAAGCCTTCTCCAAGTGTTTACTCTTGCCACACGAATACCATGCTATCGCTCCATTGTGGCTGCAGAGCTAACTCTAGCTGACAACACCTGCTTGGGACTGCCGCAGATCCTATGGGGACTTGCGCAAGACGAGCAAGATGCAGTCAGCGAAGAGGAAACAATAGCGTGGGCCAGGACAAGAACAACGGCAGCAAGCTTGGCTCGTGAGTGGGATGGTATAGCTCGTGCGCTCGGCTAATGCGCCAACTCCTTGGCTTCTCAACGTCGATGCGCGGAGGTGTCCTGGACATGCTGGGTAATGGACATCAAATCGACAGCAAGGAGAAACCCATGGGCTTTTTCCCACAGGATCCGCGAGGATCCATTTGGCTGAGATCCCATGGAGGAGAGCTTCGGGCGATGCATCAAAAGTTTTGGGCCGCTCAAGGAGTTTCTGCGGCTGACGTTAAAAGAAACACACAAGGTGGCCCAAATCGTCCGAAGCCAAGAACTCAAAGGTCAAACGCAGTTACAATGAAAGAGAAAGCAATGCGAGCACACTGCTGCAGAATGCTGCCCCAACCCGAAGGAATCCCCAAAACCGGTTCATTCCCACCCGGACCATAGGTGTCCTTTTTGGTTGATTTGGTTGAAAAATAGAGATTTTGGTTGATTTGGTTCAATCAACTACCAGGGAAACCCATCTATTTTCAACCAAAAAGGACACCTATGACCCGCCATCTATTTCCCAAAAAGGACACCTATGGTTGAGATACATGTTTGGGGTTCCTTTTTTTGCAGCGGAAACCAGGACTCGTTGTCATTGGCACCAAGTCATGCCCTGGAGGTTTGGTCCTCCTGGGACGCCCACAAACTGGCGCCAGCTCCGGCGCCGGAAGAAGCAGAGGAGGCGGATCCAGAAACCTCCTCGCTCCTTGGCCTCGGAACCGTCGTCTTTTTTTTGGGGGTGCAGGCTTCCTTGCAACAGATGCGTGCATGGTAAACCCACCCCCCCCCCGAAAAAGAGAAACGCGTGAGTCATGTTTCTATTTTCAATAATAGCAAACCAAAAACAAGCAGGGTAATGTCGACTTCGGAATCATCCAGAGGACCCTATTAGTCAGAGGACCTCCCCCCCAACCAACAAACACACAAAAACCATAGATTTGGCCATTTGGAACCCTTTTCTTTCGCCCCCCCGTAAAGAAAACAAACAAACAGACAAACAAACAAACAAACACAAACACAAACACAAACACAAACACAAACACAAACACAAACACAAACACAAACACAAACACAAACACAACCACAAACACAAACACAAAAACACAAAAACACACACAAACACACACAAACACAAACACAAACACAAACACAAACACAAACACAAACACAAACACAAACACAAACACAAACACAAACACAAACACAAACACAAACACAAACACAAACACAAACA